ACTCCCATTAGATACTGTTTGAGCTAATGACGATAGTAACATGGTAAATATGGTTAAACCTGTGTTCTTGTTGAGAAAATTAAGCTTTAGATTTGGAGACTTTAAAAATCAAAAATTCACTCTTTATTGTTATGCGTGTTGCCCCTTCCTTTGTTCCTTTACAAGTCAGTAAATGCTTCAACATAAATGTATTGTAGCTTATTTCATTAAAGGCAACTCATATTAAATTTACTGACTTCAATGTTTGCGTACTGAACTTTGAATCGTGTCATTCAAAACTGAATTAGGTTGTATCTGGGTCATTCCGTGTCAAATCAAACAAATTTCGGGAATTTCCACGCCTCAAATTTTGGATTTTGTTAATATTTTTTCTGTAGAAAGACAAACATAAATAGCGATGAAAGCCAAAATATTAAATGTCACAGATTTAGATTTACTGAGTAATCCACTATTTTGAAGAGGGGGGGGGGGGGGGGGAAAATGACAAGTTTCACCTGAGATTTGGAGCCAAATTTGAGGGGGGTAAAAATGACTTTAGAAAACAGGCAGCATCATTATTTTATTTTTACACAGAGATTGGCAGGTCTATTAGTACAATATGTTGACTTTACCAATCTTTGTTTCATTATATTCTAATGGCGACAGTTCAAAAATGGCAAAAAGCACTTCTTGTGTTTTTTGCCTCAAGTTTATGTCTGTTACTCAAGAAGTATTCAAAAAATATCTTAATATCCTTTTAGATTCTGGTTCTTAACAAACTTTCCTTTTGGTATCTTCATTTTAAAGGCCCTTGATGGTTCATTCCCAGAGATATGGAGATATTAATGCGGCTCCATGAGTAAATTGTACACATTTTCATTGGTCAAAAACCAAATGTGGGTAATTTTGCATACAGCTGATACGTTTTTTCTTTTAAAGAGATATATCTAATACAGATATATTAAGATATTTTCTTGAGTTACAGGCATGCAAACACAATAAGTGCTTTTTGCCATTTTTTAACGGTAACCGTTGTCTTATAATGAAACAAAGATTGCTAAAGTCAACAGATTTGACTAATACCACTACCAATCTCTGTGTAAAAAGAAACTTGTCATTTTGACCCACCCGCTACAAAATAGTGGATTACTAAGTATATATACATCTGTGACATTTAATATTTTGGCTTTCATCACTATACATGTTTGTCTTTCTACAGAAAAAAATATTAACAAAATCTCAAATTTGAGCCGGGGACCTCTGGTTGAGTTGACACGGAATGACCCATCTGAGAGTATTACATGTGGCCACATGTGCTAACTGTGTTCCTATTTGCAGTCTATACATAAAGGTCACAGGTGTATTTTGAGAAGAGCCCATTAAAAGACATATGCAAACCTACAGTTTCAGCTCCTATTTCCATTGTATTTAACTTTGTATATCAAATAAGCATCCTGTAGCAATGATCTTATCTCATTCAGTGCAGAGATCCTGTGGTGCATGATAAGGACACCAATGCTAGCTATTAGAAAACATCAGAAACACATTCGTCACATGTAAATTTTTGTTTTATTTTACTACATACAAGTAAACCAAATCAAGTTAATCACGCAAATATCTACAGAGGTTTCCCCATATATTCAAGTAACAAAGAAAAATAATAAATATGGTAAACAGGTTTGAAAAATCTCAGTCAAAGAGAAGACTGAACAGAAATATAATTTGAATCGCATTACAGTCTCAAAAGTGCAGAAGAGAATAAATGTGAATGAGTTTACTTATCCTGCTCAAATAAAACTAACTGATAATAACTTATAGATTGTGTTGTAAGAGAAGTGTTGCATTTTTCTCATTTGGAGAGCACATTTTATATTAAACTACTTTTTCTTCCCTTATGAGATGATAGTTGACAGACCATAGGCTGAATTTGCCTCTTTGCACTCCTTCTGAATCAATTTTCTGGTCAATGAATGTAATGGAAAAACTGCCAATTTTTGATACATCAAGTTTCCAAGCACAGAAACATCAGTACCTCTTTGGTTTATTTTTAAATTGCAGTACCACAGTTAATCTACCTAAAGAGTCAAGGAGACACTGAACCCACTGATTTGTATGACACGCAGGTATTACAGCACACTATTGCCAGACTGATTACAGTTTTCTCTAAAACGAGGCGAGCGAATGTAAAAGTTATACATCTCAGGCTTAACAGGAAATCAATGCTTAAATTAGTCACACTTAATGTAGTGTGAATTTCTGCAAACATGATTCACAATAATAGCATTATTCTTTTCTTTTTAATGGAAGAAACATTCAATTAGCCAACAACAAAGTTTCTAAAGAGAAATAGGTATGATCAAAATGTATCATCGTCTTTCAAATAGAGTCTTTTTTTGTGAAATATAATCAGTTAAATGCATGTTCTATTATTCACTGAAAAAAAAATCATAGTTGTTTTTTTAAAATCTGAGTTTAAATCATTTAATTGTTTTTTGAATCTAGCATCAATAACTACCTAATGTGAGCTGCAATCACAGAATACTGTGAATGGAAAGTCAAAAATAAAGACTGCTAATTAACTGGCAATAGTACAGTCCAAACTAGGATGGAATGGGGTATTAAAATGCAAGTTATGCAGTTGTTAATCAATTATACAAGGAAATGATTGCTAACTATAGCCATGCATATAAATCCTAACTATACAATAAATGATGCACATAAATAGGCACACAGCAGTGACCATACTAGTGTTTTCTTCATTTCAATGTCGTCTGCCTTAGAACAGAGGAAATAAAATCATTGGTAATGTTAGATGTCGTCTTACTCTGTGCATTGAAATCTGCATACAAAAGCTGACTGTTCATACATGGGGCAATATGCACAGTGCATTCCAGTCAAATTTCTACACTACATTTTCTCAGCACTCGCAATAGGAGAAAAAACAGTTTGTAGTAGTTTGAGAGTATAAATGCAGTAGATACACAGAGAACTTTATACAAAAGCATAATAAATACAGCAAACTTTGATATTAAAGCACTGCTTCACAAAGGTACGAATTGTAAGGCAAAATAACCATTGAGTTTTGGAATTTCAGGTGGAGTTCTGGGGCCGGATTCACGAAAATCTTCTTAAGAAATAAGTTAGTTCGTAAGAATGTTCTTAAGTGCAATTCTTGAAAAATTCTCAAATATATTCTTAAGAACATCTTAATTTTCGTTATCGGAGTGAATACATGACGCACTGATAAACTCACGCTTTATTGTCTTTTTGCGCTTCCTGCAGATTACCCTAATAATCTTAATAAGCAAAGCACATTATTTTCGTCGCAAGTTTGACTGGCACTCAGCTTCACGTTTTTAATGCGGCGTGTTTTTGAACAGTTACTTTTAAAATAGCCTGTCTCAGACTGCAGCGATATGTTTCATTCATTTTTGTGCTGTGTTTTTGCGCTCTCATCTGAGTGAATGCTTCTGGTATATGTGTCCTACAGCAAAAGCATCCTGCGCATTCATGTGTGCTGAATACTGCCAAAGATTATGTCATATTTATAAGCTAAAATTAAAAGCGTTCAATTAAAGCTCCCTATCTGACTCATTTTAGAGTTGCTACCGAGTTTTGAAGTGAGCAAAAAGTAGCGTCAAACATAGGCTAATCATGACCGATCATTGATGACATTATCAGTCATCACTGTCACTTCAGAAAACTCGTGCACATCCCTATTAATAGTCCTACTATGTATTATATGTAGCTAGTGTTGTTGTAATGCTTAAATATAAAAATTTATTTGAAATATAAATTCTGTCCTAAATTTACTAAGTTATTTACGATGATTTTTAAGAAGATTCTTTTCAAGAATTTGAATTCTTCTCAAGTTTTGTCTCAAGAACAATCTTAAGAAAAAAGATAAGAATATTCTTAAGATGAATTTTTGGGAATACAAAATATTCGTAACTTTTTTTAAGTTAAAAAATAAGAAGAAAATGGCAGTTAAGAAGAAATTTCTTCTTAAGAATGATTCATGAAACCGGCCCCTGATCTTTAAAATGTCTATGACAGGCATCAGAAATTACAGCATTTGCCATGCCAATAAACTTTCACCATCTACGGATTTTTTTAAATATTTTTTTTAGATTTGATGTTTATTCAAAACATCAAAATAAAAAGCTAAAATATCAATAGGTAAACAAACTGTTACAGGAAGCGCAATGGCCAATCACTTGAGGTTGTTAAATACAAATCTACAGCCCATTTTGCCCTTTATGAATGGTCAAATTATTTCACAGTGTTAAAAACTGGAGATGTTGTTCTCACAGAACCATGGGAGCCGTATTAGCTTATACTGTGTCACTGAAAAACGTGTGTGGCATAGAAATCAAAAGATTGCAACGTATCCCTTCTAAAAAATAAAAAAAAACACTGTCAAGATTCCTGTTGAACAATTACCCATATACTGTAAATGGATATAAAATTAAATTCCAGCAACTCTGAAAAGTACCAGTTTGAATCTCGTGATCCAGACAATGAAGCGATTGTGATTGCACTTTTGTGGAATTTCATCGTGCAGCAAATAAATATCCATTGTGTCTTAGTACTATAATCAAATTCAAATTAATTTCCAATATCAAATTGTTATTTCATTGGATGCTCAAGCATACCTTTTCGGTAGTGATACTGGATGTACACCAACACTACCATTTAGAAGTTTGGGGTTGGTGATACTTTTTTAACGTCTTCGAAAGAAGTGTCTTATGTTCACAAAGGATTCATTTATTTGATCAAAAATACAGTAATGTGAAGTATTATTACATTTTAATATAACTGTTTTCTATTGTAATATATTTTAAAATGTAATTCCTTCCTGCAATGGCAAAGCTGAGTTTTCAGTAGCCATTACTCCAGTCTTAAATTTCACATTAACATTATTTCAAGATTCTTGTAGTTCAAAAGAACAAAATGTATTTGTTTTTTTATCATAATGAATGTCTTTACTGTTACTTATGATCAATTTAATGCATCCCTGCTGAATGAAAGTATTAAGTTCTTTCAAAAATAATTGTATTGACCCCAAACTTTTGAACACTAACGTACCAAAGATACTTTATCTATTTGAAAGTGGGGTTTTAGTAGTATGTTTGAAACACTGCAACCACTTACATGACATGTGCACTGCTATGTTTTTTGTACCATACCATGGCTCATCATGGACAAGGAAGCAGCGTTTTCTCACTTCTTCCCAATATCAAACTCACAGACAGCGAGTTTATGCATTTAGCCACCATCTGGCATGTTTGTACCATTATATCAATCCAGCCACTGTAATCTACTCACAAACCACTTCTTCACTTCAAATTTTGTGTTCTATAAAATAGAATGTAGAAGGGCAAGATGGAAGGAGGAAGAGTCAATGACAAAGTGGTGTGTTGTATGTCTTGGATATCCCTTCTCCTCTAGTAGTGCAGCACAGAGGCCTGTGGAGCCAAAATGGGTCAGAACTACTGACCTTGAGGCAAAAAGGTGCAACTAGCTCACTATCTAAGTCTTACTTTTGAATCAACCTGCTCTAATGTTTGATTCCGAAACAGAATGGTCCCATCCCAGTCCTTCTCCACCAACCTCTTTCCCCCATGGTCTTCAGTCCTGAGTATTGAGGACTCTCTCTTTACTGGAAGCCCTCCAGCGGCTGGGGGTTGCTGGGCTCGAGGGAACTGCCGAAGATCCAGCAAGTCTTTGTACTGTATCTCAGGCCTGATCATGCGTAGGCAAGCTTCCCACGTGGCATTGTCTAGTCCCGACTGCAACTCGTAACCCAAGATCTTCACTAATCCACTCTGGAAAGGGCGGATGGTCTTGTCCCGGATGCGACTGGCCTCTATGGGGCGGCCCCCATCACGCAAGCAGATGCGAGTGAGAACCTCCCGTTTGGTCCTAAGCAAGGCCACCTCAGACTCCATCCGACTGCGACCGAAGCGCTCTACTTCCTGCCAGAAAGTGTGATTAAAAGCTTGGTAAAGGTGCCAGTCTAGTGCATTCCATTCACGTAATTTCGATCTTTGCTTGTCTGTTAATGCCAAAGGAGCTGGAGCTGCAGCCTTGGCCATCCATCCTGATCTTCCACTGGTCATTTGCTGCCTGGCATTCAGGCTAAAAGAAACCACAGCATCTAGCGGCCAGCACAGAGCGTGGCGGAGCAGCACCATAGATTGGTCGAAATACTCTGATATAAGGATGAGCTTGAAGTTCCGACGCACTGCTGCCATACCGCGCTTGACCAGCGCAAGGCTGAAGTTGGAGGTATGATCCAGACCAAAATCAAACCACATCAGGTTGTGGGCATAGTGGTTGTTTCGGAGTCTGGCGTCGTAGTATTTATAGGGGTTGTCTGCAAATTCACCCAGTCCTTTGGTACGCCTGAAGGCAGGGGCAACATTTTTATAATAGGCATAGGAGGATTCAGCTAGCGCCACAGGGTCTCGGAGGATGGAGAAATAGAAGGTGTCAGCTGGCATGACCTTCTCAACCTGCAACAAAAGTAAAAGGAGAATCACATTACAAAAAGGAACATCTTTAATCATGTAACTGAAATCAAATACTGAATATAAAATGTTCATAGGAGATTTCTATAGTTTTTCTGCTTAGGTTTCCATTTAGATTCTGGACTAGAAGAAAATAAAGATGTAAAAGTAGTTTGTTTTAGTTAGTTCGTTAGTTAGTCAAGGTTGTTTGAAAAAAAAAAACATACAACTGACAAATCAGATAATGTCAAAAATAGCTGCAAGCGTCAATCACAAGTATTTGACTATATAATAATTTGCATGATTATTTGCAATTTATTATTAGTAGTGCTGTCAAACGATTAATCGCATCCAAAATAAAAGTTTTTGTTTACATTATATGTGCGTGTACTGTGTATTACTTATTATGTATATATAAATACACAGACATACATTTATATATTTTAAAAATATTTACAAGTATATATTTATATTCATTTATAATTTGTATTATATATAAATATTAATATTTTATATATAAACAAAACATATGTTTCTCAAATATAAACATGCATGTGTGTGTATTTATATATACATAATAAATATACACAGTACACACATATATTATGTAAACAAAAACTTTTATTTTGGATGCGATTAATCGCAATTAATCATTTGACAGCACTAATTATTAGTGAAAACATAAATGTACATATTATAGCGCCACCTAGTTGTGCCAGAAACACAATATTAACACTAAAGAAGTAAATTAATTTTATTATTTGATCCCTAAATAATTTTTCAAATCTGAATAACCAGAGTGTGATTTTCAACACATCTGTCTAAGGAAATGCCAGCTATAGTAGGCTGTACCTCTGGTTTGTTGAACCGCATATGATTTCCCATGATGTCAAATTCTGCCACGTGAGGGCCTCTGTATCCTTTCACCCTCTGGGCGATAAAGGGCAATGGGTAGCCAAACTGATAACCCACAGGCAGGGCAAATTTAAGGCCCCGCTCTTCTCCAAAGCGATAGAGCAAATTGAGAACGGTGCTGCTTGCTGTCTTGTGAGTCTTCAGGAACATGATGTGGATGTGGGGCTGACAAGACCCCAGAGACTCCCCTTGGGAATTCTCAGAGGGAAGAGAGTAGAGGGAGTGAAGTCTCTCTGGCTGCATCCAGCTAATGTAGAGAAAGAACAAATTATGACATAAAAATGATAATGAAAACAAAAGAATACCATAACAATACAAATAGTACTCTAGACTGGTTTAATCCTATTTCTTAAAGGGATAGTTTACCCAAAAATTCTGTCATCATTTATTCAACCTCTTGTCATTTCAAACCAGTATGACAAACTGTGTTCCACAGAAAAAATTTCAGGTTTAGAACGACATGAAAATGAGTAAATTATGACATTTTTTACATTAAGTGAGAACTGAATTTCCTTCTCAGAAAAACTAGCCAGATGGTTTTACAGCGGGTTACTAAAGCATTATCAGTATTTGCTGAAAATAATCCAGAAACATTTAAGCAACATTATTTCTTAACGCTGGGTGTTAAATGACAAAAATGTAACTAGGGATGCACGATATATCGGCCACCATATCGGTATCGGCCCATATCGGCTCATTTTTTCTGTTATCGCAAGCAATGTGGTGTATAAGAATGCAGTACAAGATAAAAGCAGGTATTTGAAAAGGAGTGAAGTTCAGAATGGCAACATTTGCTTACCTCTTGTTGAAGATGACTCCCAGAAGTTGTCCGGCAAAACCGATGACAACAAATACCAGGAGTGCTTTCCATATGGGCCCCAGACGATAACATCCCAGCCACCGCATTCTCCTATGATCAAGAGGAGGACAGTTAGCCTAAGTTGTGAAACTGTGTAGCACAGAAAGAGAGTGAGATGCTCATTAACAGTCATAAAAGATTTATTTTAAATCATAAAAGAGCAACAAATGGACAATAAAGGGGAAGAATGTGAGCATGTGAAGTGTGAAATGAGCAAGAAAGGATTAGACATTAAGAAAACAGAGTAGTGTGACAAAATGGAAGACATGCGATATGACAGGAAAACAGAAGAGACAAACAGGCAGGTGCATCTGTTGTCAGATCAAATCCACATATACATAATAAACACACACCAAACGCTTCAATGCTGTTATTGGAAACTCTTTTCCATGCCTGATGCCTCTATACATCAGCAACCTAGACTCTCTGCCACACAGGCTTTGATTAAAGCGAACAGACTTTTCTCCAATGCTTTATTGCAAACTACATTATGCTTGCATAAAATAACGGGTGTAACGTTAGAGGAAAAATAAACAGGCTGAGGGACAAAAGATATGCAAAAGACAGGCCTGTTTCAATGCGCTTGCATCGTGAAAAGGGTGTTGCAGATTTTGCTCGGACAAAGACAGAGAGATAAAGCACAGATTGCGCCTAGCAGTCGGTGCCAGTCGCCGCTCTGAGCCTGACACACTTACCGAGCTGACCGTCTGAAAACCATGATAAAACCCGGCCGGTATCACTATATATCGGCGCTTGGTAACAGCAGCCACGGTGCATCTCGGCCGATGCCTTTCAAATCTGCCCGACGACGTCTGTGTAATGAAAGTGCTCCGTCCGTGCGTACATGCTCCGACAACAGAACGCCTGCACGACTGCAGTCAAGTGCGTAACATTTCCAGTTTGCTTGACGCGCATGTGCTTCGCTTCAGCTTGTCGAAAACTCGAAGACCACGGAGAAAAGGAGAAAAGGGACTGCTTTGTGTTTTGAGTGAGTGTGGGCGGGTGTTTAGGGACCAGTCTGCTGCTATGTGTCGAGTCGAAGCCTGACGTCAGACCGGCTCATTGCTTACAAGCACTAAATACAGATTCTCCGAAACGGCACGTGATTGAAAGCGAAGCATAACAATAAACAGCACATCCGTCATTATTACCGTGAGATTTCCACGAATACGGTACCCCCATGTCCCATTCCTTTCTTACTGCATTATTGGAAGTGCACATGGATTGTTTTTGTTGTAAGGCCTGTAGGACAAAACTACCATTTCGCATATAATTGACTTGGCATGTAAAGCAGTTAGATTTGAACACGTCAAGTGTCTCTGTAACTTCTCGTACGCCTACGATTTTAGTTTTTAAAGCCTTGCCAGGCCTAGGTCAGCTAAATGACTTCAAAAATTATATAGACCCACATTATTCAAACCAAAATGTAAAATAAATAAATAAACAGTAATTAAAAATGATTGTATCTTTCAGAATCGTTCTATAATTTCGTTTCTATTTTAATGATCTGACACCAATAATAATAATATAATAATAATAATAATACCTTGTAGTGTAATTTTAAAGTCACAATGTATAGGCAGTAGTGACAGATCTTTTCCTCTGGAGATACATCAGAATGAAACAGATTACTGAAAAAGAAAAAAATGCAGGGTTGTTGATTAAATGGAGGCAGATCTGAATGCGAGCTTGCAGTCAATTGTAAGAAAAGAGGCTGCGTTTATGCTGATGAAACTAATTGAGAAAGCCAGCATACATCATCAATTCAAACCAATAACTCATACGTTAAACGAAAATCTGTTTAAAAAATGTTCAGATAAACTCATAAGAGTCATTTGTTTATGAGTCGGACATCACAGTTTTGCCTGGAGTGAGGACAATGCAACAAAGAAATGCTGAAAAGCAGAAAACATTGGGATGCACTCTGAAGATGTAATTAACTAACACCCCCTGACTACATTAAAAAAATAAAACAAAGATGTTTATCGCTGCCAACCCATACACATTTAACTGTGTGAATTTCAATAAGGCAGACATCAGGTTTAGATTTCCTGCATCTGGTTTCCTGCCTTGTTAGATGAACTAGATTAACTTTGTTTGTTGGCTTTGATCACTTTCACCTATCAATGTTCTAAATCTTTTTTGTTGTAAGTGAAATTTTGTATGTGTAAAAATATTGGATACACAATCATGCCGACGACAACGCCAAAAATGTTAGATCGGACATCCACGCCAGGAATATTAGATCCATTCTGTTTACCAGATCCCATCAGAAGACATCCGTTTTGTCTGATATCCAAAACTGTTAACAGTAGGTCTAGTCTGATACCCATAATCAGTTAATAAGGCAGTATAAACTAAACGTTTTCTGTTAGCATGAGAGGGTGACAGAGGAAGCCATTAATTAGCAGAAAGCAGAAGACAAACTGGTGATAAAAATTAACTTCATCCCTACTTTGTTCCTTCTGAACTACAAATCCAACAAAGAAAAATAAAGAAAATAAAACAACACAGATGTTGGTCACTGTCTTGAAGCAAAACACACAGGTTGTTATTAAGAAATCTTTGATTCTTCAAGCCTCTTGTAGTAAGTTGCTAATGCATCTCGGCCGATGCCTTTCAAATCTGCCCGACGACGTCTGTGTAATGAAAGTGCTCCGTCCGTGCGTACATGCTCCTACACCAGAACGCCTGCACGACTGCAGTCAAGTGCGTAACATTTCCAGTTTGCTTGACGCGCATGTGCTTCGCTTCAGCTTGTCGAAAACTCGAAGACCACGGAGAAAAGGAGAAAGGGACTGCTTTGTGTTTTGAGTGAGTGTGGGCGGGTGTTTAGGGACCAGTCTGCTGCTATGTGTCGAGTCGAAGCCTGACGTCAGACCGGCTCATTGCTTACAAGCACTAAATACAGATTCTCCGAAACGGCACGTGATTGAAAGCGAAGCATAACAATAAACAGCACATCCGTCATTATTACCGTGAGATTTCCACGAATACGGTACCCCCATGTCCCATTCCTTTCTTACTGCATTATTGGAAGTGCACATGGATTGTTTTTGTTGTAAGGCCTGTAGGACAAAACTACCATTTCGCATATAATTGACTTGGCATGTAAAGCAGTTAGATTTGAACACGTCAAGTGTCTCTGTAACTTCTCGTACGCCTACGATTTTAGTTTTTAAAGCCTTGCCAGGCCTAGGTCAGCTAAATGACTTCAAAAATTATATAGACCCACATTATTCAAACCAAAATGTAAAATAAATAAATAAACAGTAATTAAAAATGATTGTATCTTTCAGAATCGTTCTATAATTTCGTTTCTATTTTAATGATCTGACACCAATAATAATAATATAATAATAATAATAATACCTTGTAGTGTAATTTTAAAGTCACAATGTATAGGCAGTAGTGACAGATCTTTTCCTCTGGAGATACATCAGAATGAAACAGATTACTGAAAAAGAAAAAAATGCAGGGTTGTTGATTAAATGGAGGCAGATCTGAATGCGAGCTTGCAGTCAATTGTAAGAAAAGAGGCTGCGTTTATGCTGATGAAACTAATTGAGAAAGCCAGCATACATCATCAATTCAAACCAATAACTCATACGTTAAACGAAAATCTGTTTAAAAAATGTTCAGATAAACTCATAAGAGTCATTTGTTTATGAGTCGGACATCACAGTTTTGCCTGGAGTGAGGACAATGCAACAAAGAAATGCTGAAAAGCAGAAAACATTGGGATGCACTCTGAAGATGTAATTAACTAACACCCCCTGACTACATTAAAAAAATAAAACAAAGATGTTTATCGCTGCCAACCCATACACATTTAACTGTGTGAATTTCAATAAGGCAGACATCAGGTTTAGATTTCCTGCATCTGGTTTCCTGCCTTGTTAGATGAACTAGATTAACTTTGTTTGTTGGCTTTGATCACTTTCACCTATCAATGTTCTAAATCTTTTTTGTTGTAAGTGAAATTTTGTATGTGTAAAAATATTGGATACACAATCATGCCGACGACAACGCCAAAAATGTTAGATCGGACATCCACGCCAGGAATATTAGATCCATTCTGTTTACCAGATCCCATCAGAAGACATCCGTTTTGTCTGATATCCAAAACTGTTAACAGTAGGTCTAGTCTGATACCCATAATCAGTTAATAAGGCAGTATAAACTAAACGTTTTCTGTTAGCATGAGAGGGTGACAGAGGAAGCCATTAATTAGCAGAAAGCAGAAGACAAACTGGTGATAAAAATTAACTTCATCCCTACTTTGTTCCTTCTGAACTACAAATCCAACAAAGAAAAATAAAGAAAATAAAACAACACAGATGTTGGTCACTGTCTTGAAGCAAAACACACAGGTTGTTATTAAGAAATCTTTGATTCTTCAAGCCTCTTGTAGTAAGTTGCTAAAGAACAGTGTTGATTCTGAAAAAAAAAAATAATAATAATAATAATAAAATAAAATATAATATCAGTCTCTGTGGTTCTCAATTAAGAACCACAAGTTTATTGTTGCAATATCTATGATAATCAACTGTCTGAATGGAAAATTAGTATACCAACCATGTTTCGGATTGGTGACACTTCACAAAGTAGTGTGATTTGGTGGTTGGCTGAAGCCAGCATAGTCACTTCCCCTGTTATCCCACTGCATGCAGCTGAAAATGCAGTAAATCTGATGACAAGCTGCCTGTAGCCTGAATTATGTGCATGAAGGTATCTGTAATTTACATATCTTGATGGCTCTATTAGTTGAAAAAATCTTTAAATGCAAAATTTTGCATGGTTTTGCTAAAGGACCCAGATTTGACCAAAATGTTTATTATGCAACTATAAAAAAATGCACTTAAAGTTATTTGCATGTGATGTGTTCAGATCCCGTTCCAAAAGGCGTGTCTTTATAGTTTGAGTGTTTGGTTTCTAAATGTCTCTTAAAGTTTAATGGTTTCATTCTGTCTGCATCCAATATTTCACTGCACAAAAACACAATGCAGTTGGCACAAAACATTTTATCCTAGCTGAAAGTGAACCCGTATTTAATGTAGTGTGGGTCATTTTACCTTTTAGTTTTGTTTAAGCCTTTTTGAAGATGAGGACGTCATGCAACCTGAACATGTTGGCATTTACCTAAATTGGCTGCTTTTATTGGATGCACAGCCTTTGACATCAACAACAAAAGGTATGTGAATTGTTTTCTCTTTCCTTTTAAAACTTTGCTATCCTATACATGATTATATAGTTGCATTTTATTAATTGCATTCAGCATTTTTTCCTTGCTGTCAGAACAGATGTGTGACCAATTTTTGAGTTTTCTAGGCTGGCCTACTGAATTAGGTTGACTTTACAAGCATGCCTATATAGACTTAAACCCTATAATCGTTTTAACTGTGGTACACACCTCTGGCCCACTACCAGATACCTCTATCCTCTTAGCATCAATGAGGGATGACTGGACAATCTGTTCAAGCAATCTTGAGAATAGATGAGAGTGGAAATGAAAAATGATAGTTCCTTGAAAAGTGTCCTTGTGTCAATGTTTTCTTTTTAGGAAACAAAACTGGTAATATACAGTGAAAAATAAAAATATTGGATACACAATCATGCCGACGACAACGCCAAAAATGTTAGATCGGACATCCACGCCAGGAATATTAGATCCATTCTGTTTACCAGATCCCATCAGAAGACATCCGTTTTGTCTGATATCCAAAACTGTTAACAGTAGGTCTAGTCTGATACCCATAATCAGTTAATAAGGCAGTATAAACTAAACGTTTTCTGTTAGCATGAGAGGGTGACAGAGGAAGCCATTAATTAGCAGAAAGCAGAAGACAAACTGGTGATAAAAATTAACTTCATCCCTACTTTGTTCCTTCTGAACTACAAATCCAACAAAGAAAAATAAAGAAAATAAAACAACACAGATGTTGGTCACTGTCTTGAAGCAAAACACACAGGTTGTTATTAAGAAATCTTTGATTCTTCAAGCCTCTTGTAGTAAGTTGCTAAAGAACAGTGTT